ATCGTTCTCTGCCATCGGCCTTCCACGGGAAACAATTCGAGACAATGGCGGCGGTAACCTTACCGTCCGCAGACGCTGCTACGCTCCACATATCGCGGATACCTGTGGATACCCGTGGATATCGCGGCGCGCCTCCAATATATTTGCCCTGGCGTTACGCAAACCTTCGTATCGACCATTAGTCTACCGATTGACGCGGCTCAAATACGCGAAAAGAAGAGAAGAAGAGTCGACGCGGCGGAAACCGCTTCCCGTACTTCGTCTAGATAACTTAACCGGCAAACTTCATTGCGTACTTTTCCCGCGCTCGATCGATCGCCACCGAGCCGCCCTGCCAAATGTTTCATTCGCAAGTCTCGATCGTGGCGCATCGCAGATTAACATTGCTAACGACGTTTTGCGATATGACTTACGTTGAATGTTTTTGCGGTTAACGAAGAGGAGTTTGCAACGCGATTCTCGGGGGAGCGCGCGGGCGGGAACGGGCGGGGAACAGGCGGGAATATCAATCTTCCCCCACCCTCCTGCCGCCGTGGAACTGCAATATCGACGGTGCGGCCGCGCGGATAAGTGGAAACCCTGCAGGCCCCGTGGGTCGCCGGTCGAATCCGTGACGTCGTCTACGTGCCGTGCCGCTCGCCTCGTATACCTATTCGACGGCATCTTACGCATACTTGTACCGCGGGCGCATACAACGCAGACGTGTGTCGAGGTATCTCTCCGGTAGGATCTCGCGCTGGCCTGTGGAACGAGTGCGGAGCGCGGCTAGTTGTTCGATTCGCGGTGTCGCGACTCGACGGGAATGCGAGGCGCACATGAGAGAAAGAGAGAGAGAGAGAGAGAGAGAAATCGCGAGCATCGGGCGGCGCAGATGCGACGAGCCCACGTGCGTCGAGCTCGTCGCGGCGCGGTGCCGCGATGGACCGCGACGGACACGAACGTGGGACGCTCGTGGTTCGTAGAGTTTCGTTCGCGGGACGCGCGACGGTCCCGTCAGCGTGCGGTCGTCCCGGTGGCGAGGTAAGGTTAAGTTTTGCAGTGCGGTACGGACAGTCGCCTCGCCCGCCGGCCGTCGCGCGGCAGCACCGTTCGACGCGGCGAGGCGCGCGCTTTTTGAACTCGACGGAGCCGAAAGCGCGACTGCACGTATCGAAGAAATTTCGTAGATATCGATTAATACTCGGATGTTTGGATCGTCAGTTTGTCGCGTCGCTTGTCGGTTACTAGAGCTCGGGTGTCTCCACTGTTCGAATGATTCGTAATATTCGTAATGATTCGTTTACGGTGATCCGGACGAGAAAACTTATTTCTTCGAGTCTGTGAGTTTGATTTTAATTCAGACTCGAGCGGCCCAGCGAGAGATATAATTGAAATTGCTAATTGCTGATTCGTTAGAGTTTGATTCTTCCGGGATAAAAATTTCATTACAGCCGAAAGACGGTGGCGAATACCCGAGAACTTTCCTATCTTGCAGCCAATCGGCATACTTAAAAAATTTGTCGTACGACATTTTTCAAGCCTGTCGATTGGCTGCAGAATAGAAAAGTTGTCGAGTCTCTAGAAACTTTATATTCTGCAGCCAATCGACACGCTTGAAAAATTTGTAATGCCATTCGCGCGACAGCGGCCGAGCAAGTAAGAAGGGATGCGTGCTGCTCCGCGTATCGTCGTATTGTTCTTCGCGACAGGTAGCGAGAGAGTAAAGCCAACGGCAGACGATACTATTTTTCCTACTGAATTGCTTACGAGAGCCAATTGGATTTAGCTTTTAGTCGCCCGATCTAAAACTCTGCATCTTTATTGGTTCTTGTAAGTAAATCCAGTAGGAAAAATCGTATCCGTTGGCTTAAGATCCTGCCGTTACGATTTCTCTGACGACTTTACGTTTGTCCAGTCGCGTTAATTAGCCGACGCTCGTGATTAACGATACGTGCGAGCGTATTGCGACGACGAAGATATAATAATTATCGGGATGAATATTTCAGCGTTGCTTAAAGTATCGTTCGCAAATCGAAACGACGGAAGAAGGTGATTATCGCTTCGTTGCGATGTTTGCGGCCAGTAACTCTATTTCTTTAACGACGTTTGCATTGTATTTTAGTTCGGATTATTCCTCGTAAAGCCCGTATCAGACTACGGATTGAGATTGGGATTAGATTGAAATCTGACCAATCAGAGTAAAAGTTACTGAACTTAAGATTAGTAAACTTTACTGTGATTGGTTAAATTTCAATCTAATCCCAATCCGTAGTCTGATACGGGCTTAAGGGCCTGAGCAGAATGGCTGTCTTGTATTCTTCGGTCACAAGACAGTTATTGTGCGTTACTTTAAGACAAAGATTTAAAACATAAAACATTGTCTTAAGAGTACGAGACAGTCCATTCTGCTCGGGCCCTAAATGTAACTGTTCGTCGCTTTCGGATTGAAAGCGCCGAGTAACAAGCGACCCACCGGATCGAATGATTCAGGTACCGGAGAGTCACGATATATTGACCATTTATTAATAATACGTTCATTTAGCGGGGATTCACGCGTTCGAAAATGTATTTTTGGCCAATCCGTCGCGCTTTAATTAGACATCAACTCGACTTCGTTAATTGGCGCGGTGTCCGTGTGCAAAAATATTTAGCAGCGTGATCTTGCGAATACAATTTCACAGGATTCACTTAGAAACAACGGGGATTCCGAAGTCAGCAGCGTCTGCAGCTTCCTGCACCACCAATAAGATGTTCGATAATGATTTTTCGCGTATCGTTATCGACGTGGATACGTCGAGGGATCTTCTCGCGGCGAAGGCATATCGCGGATTTTTCGCGATTAACAGCGGCCTCAGGCCGCAAGGTCCAATCTCGATCAGAGGCGGCGCGGCGCGTCTCCGGAATCGCCCATTAAGCCGTGCGTCTAGCGATCCGCAAAAGCGAGACGACGTCGTAAAAGGGGAGGGACGGTCACGCCGCGGCGCCAAGGCAGAGAGCTCTGGGGGCTCCTCTCGGGCTCTCGAGTAGCATCGCGGGCGGAACGCTCCTCCGAGAGAGAGAGACGCTCCTCCATTATCGTAATTTGCAAATTTCCCCGGGACCGCGATGAAAAACGACGAGAGGCGCCGTGGTTTCGCGTTGAAACGCCGCGAGTGCGGCGAGAGGGGGAGAAGAGAGGGGAAGCCGACCGCTACAGGGGGTGGAAAGAGAGGAAGATGGCGAGGCTCGGGGAGAGGAGGAACAGGAACCGCGAAGACGGTGGCGGATTGGCGGCCTCGGGCGCGGTTGCGGATTCTCGGCGTGATGCCGGTGATTCGCGGCTTTGGTGCCCAGTAATCCCGGGCTTTCCCCCCTCGCCCGGCGAGTATTCCTCCTCCCGCGCGCGGCCCTCCCTCGGTCTTTGATACAGCGCGGCGGCTCGGCCGTACGCCGGCGGGACGGGGAAGCTCAATCTCGCGGTAAATACAGCAATCGCTCGCGATGTGCCGTCCGCATTAATATAATTAGTCACCGCGAGCGTTCTGAGAGAGAGAGAGAAAGAGAGAGCGATGCCGGGGAGCGGATTCCGCGTCTCGCTTGCGCCCCGGGCGGCGCACGCACGCACGCACGAAATATCGCAGCCGCGCTTAAGTATTTCGGGGGATGCGAGCAACGACGACGCGGCACCCTCGGGCACCGTCTGCGACGGACCAACGTCGACGGTCCCGTCGGCCGATTACGCTCCGCGCGGCACTCGTTCCACAACGTTCTCCACTGAGGACACCGGCGATAAAATTCGGGTGATATAATTAACGCGACGTCTTGTGTCTGTCTCCAGCAGCATGGCTCCGAAGAAACCCGAGGAACCCGAGCGGAAGCCGCTCATCGGCCGCGTTGGTACTAATTTAAAAATGGGAATAGTCGGGATACCGAATGTAGGGAAGTCGACTTTCTTCAACGTTCTCACCAAGAGCCAAGCAGCGGCCGAGAACTTCCCCTTCTGCACCATCGATCCCAATGAAAATAAGTATCTCGATATACCGTGCGAATCTCGAGCGATATTGTTAGAACTTAAGCCTCGAATATCCCCAATTCCCCTCTTTCCTATCTCTTATTCCTATATTGATAAAATGCATAAGGCTCTGATGTGTTGATCACAAATTCGAAAGAATAAGAGAACCAGAATAGGGTGGCAGTGTCTTTAAAGAATTTTTTTAAATAAATTTATTTAAAAAAGATAAATTTTTTAAACGCAATAAATCTATTGCGAAAATGAATTTTTCTAATTTATTATAAAATTTATCTAAAAGGTAAACGTATTACAAAATACATTATAAAATTATTTAGACACTGATTCCTTGTCGCGGCTCTCTTATTCTTTCGAATTTGTGATAAAATGTAATTATCCATCGGTAGCTTTTTCATCTCACTGACAATTAAAGGTGGCTCCTGCATAAACCGGCCAAGCGTAGAAAAAATTAAAATTTAACTATGTTGTAGGTGTAAATTTTATCTATCAGTACGCGAAATTTCAGACCCGGTCGTAAAATGTTAAACAGTAAAGTTTTGTACTCATTTTTACAAAGTTGTACATTTTCGTGAAATACTACTTGCAATAATTTCTTGATTGGAGAACATTGTAATTTGTGGTACTATTTCGTAGATATTTTTACAAAAAAAAATTAATGTTTCAACGAAGATATAAAAATTTCTACAAATTTCTATTTCAAGTCAATTTTTGTAGTTATTTATAGAAATTTTTTCCGCTGGGGTATCAATGCATTTGATCAATGATGCATTAAGTGTTATTTGTTATGAAAAAAAGTCATATAAATTTATAAAAATCAAAGGGACCCCACCAGAGCACTTATACTGACCGGTCCTTCGTGCAGGAGCCACCTTAACCCAGCTCTTCGAAATAGTAGTAATTTATTATAAACAACGCACGTATGTATAAACATAGGCAATTTCGACCTCGCTTGTTTAACCTCGCTCGAATAGCCACGTGACAAAATGTAAAAATCGTCGATATAAATTGTAGAGAAAATAACAAGATCCAAAAATGTGCGACACACTTCTGGGGAAACTGAAGCAGAATTATGCCGACAAAGTTTTCGTTGACGAGTCGTTTATCACGAAGAAAAGCTTCCTAGAATTACTCGGGGACTCCCGTTGTGCGGAAGAGACCTCACACGCACCCTCCACAATCGCATACGCGAAGGCTAATTTATATTACGCTTTCGCCGAAGATGTACATCCGATGGAAAGGATCGTCGCCGCTTCTAAGCTCTTCGAGGAGAAGAAGCTGCAAGCCGCGTCTCGCGAAGAACTTACGAATCGAGATTCTTATTCGAAGGTTGAAGCTGTAAATGATTATCTTAGAACTGATCCGCCGAGTTTCGTTATTTTTGGGAAACCTGGGTTAGAGCATGCCAATGTGGCGTCCGCGCTAGCCGACGCTTGGAACTGCGTTTTAATTTCACCCAGGTCGCTGATTCGGCGAGAGATCAAGGCTGGTACTGACAAAGGCCGATACGTGGAAAGAATCTTGCGGCTCGGTAGATCTGTAGGACCGGAGATTCTCATGAATTTGATACGCTGCAGAGTCGGGATGAGGGATGTCAAGCACAGAGGCTACGTCGTTGGTTGTCTACCGTTTATTCCTAGCGACGTGAGCTTCGATTATTCATCGCATTACGATTCTGCTGCGGATGCGGACGACACCTGTCCAGAATCTTGCGAAAACGAGCCGACTGAATCCCACGAAGATCGGATTACGTTCGATAATTTAGGTTGCAAGGCGCGGTTTGATTACGAGCGCGAAATCCCTCGACAGATCGACGAAATATTTACCGCGTGGCCGAGGAAACCTCTAATAATTATTTATCTCGTGTGCCCGAAGCGAGATGTGGCGAATAGGTGCGCACGTCGGCGCATCAACTATTTGACAGGTGATATTTTTTATGAAAACGAACTGGCGACGCAGCTGCCCGAATCCGAACGCGACGAATCGGACACTTCGTTCGACTTCTCCCAGGTTGCAAAGGAACGACTGGTCGCGGAGGACGATCGAAGATTGGTGAGATTAATGTCCGACGCGACACGCAATGTTGAGGCACAATGTGATCTTTACGAACGAGTCGCGTTGCGAGCAATCGACAAGTGGATCCTCGCGCACAATCCCGAGCGTGTAGTCCGCGTGGACGGCCGTAGCTCCGTGCGACAAATACTTGAAATCCTCGAAATGCGTTTGCGTACTTTGGCATTGCTACCGTCGATCCTCCCGAAAGAAATGCTCGAGCGGAACGACGCACCTTCTCCGGAGATGAAATTGAGCGACGAGCTCGCGGAAAAATCGGCTGAAGAGGCTTTCCAAGTTCTGAGACGGAGAGAAGTTGTGTCTGTCGGCTTTCCCTGGAGACTTTCCGCGTGGAACTTTTACTGCCCCGTCGAGCTGGCTCGAGGACGAACCGTCAAGGGACTCCCGAAGCACGCGGTGCGATTCCTGGATAAGATCCATTTTCTCTCCTCTCGAGAAGCCGTAAACTTGTTCATCGAAAATCCAAGAACTTTTTTATCGCCGCCGAATCCGCGACCGGCCTGCAAGGTAGCGGTATTTGGGCCAAGATACGCCGGCAAGTCGGAACTTAGCACAAGATTGGCGGAGATTCTCGGCGGAACGGTGATAAATGTGGATGAGATCGTGAGAGAACTTAAACAACGCCAAGAGTATCCGTTTGAAGAATCGTACGAAAACGTTTCGCTAGAGCCTATCGACATTGACGAGACGGCTGATATTATTATACGGAACATTAAGCGAATTCCTGACGAGATGTTAGAAGACGAACTTCGAAGAGACGGCGGGTATGTTGTCGATGGAATGTGCGTCGATGTCCAAGTCTGGCGAAAAATTGTTGACGACGCTAACATTGTTTTCGAGGAGGTTGTCGTTTTGTTCGAGCAAGAGCCGTACGTCTACCTGCTGAACAAATTTCGCACTCTCCCTCGTCTTGACGACATAGACTTTATAGACCCTATAGACGATACGGAGGCGGAAGAACGTCGAATACTGCACGAAGAAGCGGAATGGGACTATCTTGAACATTTAACGCAATTCGAGTCGGAGTGGGCGAGATTCGAGGAACAAATTCCTGAATTTAAAGGAACTGTGATTAAGTGTAATCTCGCGAGTATCGAAAGCCCAACGGAATATGTAATGAGTTCTATTAGACATCGTTTCAGTGTCACAACCGCCGCGAGCGTTGAAGAAAGAAAAGAGGACGAGACATTGGAAGAAACAGCAGCCATGGAAAACGAAGCAAATTTGCGTGATAAAGACGTTGAAGAGAGGGAAGAAGAAAGTCTCGCGTACACCATCGATCTCGCCACAGCCGAGCGGCTTCTCGACTGCGGCTACTATTTCCTCAGTCCCTTCGGTCGATGGTGTCCCGTGCAAACGTACGCCAACGCGGTACCAATTTCAATGTTCCTACCGATGAAAGCGCGTGGTCAGATTTTCCCGGTCGTACGCCGTCCGCATATTTATTTTCCTGCGGGCGAGGAAGCGCTATCCGCGTTTCTGAACGATCCCTCCAGGTATCTCGCGCGGGACGTCCGCCCGCCACTACTGCCGCTTCGAGTCTCCATCATCGGACCGCCGAAATGCGGAAAGACGACGCTGGCAAGCCGCTTCGCGAAAACGTACGGGATGAAGGTGATCACTCGCGGCGAGGCGTTGCGCCACATGCTGAAATACTATCCCTGGACCGAGTCGGCGCGATTAATCGAAGGTCAGCTTCGAGCAGGCCAAGCCGCACCGGTCGAATCTGTGACGCGTGCCGTCGAGATGTTCTGCATAGGACCACGCGCGGCAACTCAAGGTTACATTCTGGACGACTGTCCTTCGTCTCGTAAGGAAGCCGAGCATCTAGCCGTCTTAGGAGTACAGCCGATGATCGTGCTTGATCTGAAGGCGGATTTGGAGTTCTGTCTCGAGTGCCTCTCCTGGGACGACGACGACACAAGGAGTCCGTTGAATTTCTCCGCCAGTTTCCTGTCGCGACGTTACGAGGACTGGCGAACGGGCCAGGCGAGTTTTCGAGACTGGCTGACAAGGTTCTCGCAGAACGTAGTTGAATTGGACGCCACCAGAAGTAAGTGGCACGTGTGGACTCGCGCGGATCACGCGGTGCGCTCGCGATTCGCCGACATTGCACTTTATTTTCACGAGGCGAACCTGGACAAGGTTCAGAGTTTGGAGCACATGTGCGTATCGCCCTACGAGTTTCGATCGCGACAGAGCCGATACGAGTCGCACTGTCCCGTTTGCTTGTACCGCGATAACGTCCTGAAGACACCCGGCCAATCGGTGACCAGTCGAGGAATGGTCCAGTTCAGGGAGTATTTTTATTGGGTCTGTCCGCGACACGTGGGCGTCTTTGTTAAGGATCCGCTGCGCTATCTCTCACCCGTTACCGCGTCTCTCCTCGACGAGCGACCTCGGATTCTGCGGGAGACGGTCGATCCGGAGCACGCTTGTTGGGCGCAACGTCTCCGAGTCGACGGGTTGTGTCTGGTGACTTACGTCGACGGCCTGCCGGATCGCAAGCTGACGCCGGGCAGAGTCGACTTGGGTGTCATCCTCAAGGACAAGGTGTATCTCTTTTGCAGCGAGGAGTGCCGCGACAAGTTTCTCGCGCGGCACGATAAATACTCCGAAATGGACATCGCGTTTCCTCGCCAACTCCCGCCGATCGACGTGCGACGTCTGCCGAATCTGGGCTTTCTGGAGCAAACGGTGGCGAAAGCGCTGGTCGAAGCGGTGAATCTGATCGCGGCTCGTCGCCCGAAGATACTCGGCTTGTCGGCGGCTGTTAGCGCGGCGATTCACATCGGCGTTTACTTGAAGACGCGCAACGTGACCGGCGCCGCGACCGAGGTGAATGTGTACGAGGCCGCGAGCAAGCGAATCGCGGGACGAAACAGAATTGTAGAGATCGCCACTGCCACCATGAAGAGGAAGCTTAATCCCTATGTATCCGTGCCCAAATATTCCGATTAAATAGTTCGTTGTATGTCGTCGTCGCACGTGGACACGTCTAAAATACATATTTGTATGTTCCGCGAAACGTCACCCTCTAAAAGTCAATCAGTGGATTATCGCTGAAAACAGTGAATAGTCGCTGATTCGCAATTATAAGTGTACCACTGAAAATCGCAGTGGTATACGGTACACTTATGACTCTCTGATAATTCACTGATTGATTTTTAGAGAACACGTTAATCGCGTCGTCGAGAATTCAAGCTATCCAATTTTCTTTTCCAGCACGTCGCGTCCCGGTGCCCGACGCGAGATTCGACTATCTCTGCGAATACTTTAAACCGGCTAGGTAAGATACAGACGACGAATGTTCCTGAAGTACATTGAACGTAGCGCAGGGTAAATGCGTATAACAAAATGGGAGCATATAGTGCCGCGTAAAGATGCACCCTCGTGAAGGGAAACGAGTCGGAATAACCGGGGACATTTCCATACTTCTTCGCTTTTATTCCCGGAGCAAGACGAGGTGGGAAGGGGCGGAAGGGAGCGAGGGGCGATCTGCAATGCAGATTGGACTAAATTCGTCTACGAAACGCAAAGTCCCCGAGTTCGTCGGCGCTACACGTTTCTTTATTCGCCTCGGCACGTGATGCGGCATTCTTGATGCCGGGAGCAGCATCGGCGGGTAGATTTTCCGAATAAAACAATCGGCAAATAACACGACGACGGGGGGGGGGGGGGCAGATGACGGGCAGATCTTGAAAATTATGTAGTATCGATCAGGAAAACCGACACGCCGGTTGTTTTCGATTATCGTCGCGCATGAGAGGCTGACTCTCTCGGCTACTCCGCGAGACTGTAAGGCTAATATTACATTTGTCGTACGACAAATTTTGCAAGCGTGTCGAAAAGTTCTTGAGTCTCTAGAAATTATCTATTCCGCAGCCAATCGACACGCCTGAAAAATTTGTCGCACGTCAAATATAATACTAGCCTAAGGCCCGGTTTTTCATTGTCTGGTTAACTGTTAACCAGAAGTTAGTCGATTCTCTCTGCCTCTTCTTAAATAGTAATATAAAGAAAGATGGAGAGTCGTCTCACCTCTGGTTAACTGTTAAATAGAAGTTAGTCGACTCTCCATCCTTTTCTGGCCCGGTTTTTTCATTTTCTGGTCAACTGTTAAATAGAAGTTAGTCGACTCTCCATCTTCTTCTATGTTATTATCTGAGAAGAGAGAGAATCGACTAACCTGTGGTTAACAGTTGACCAGAAAATGAAGAACTGGGCCAGAAAAGGATGGAGAGTCGACTAACGTCTGGTTAACTGTTAACCAGAAGTCAATCGACTCTCCATTCTTTCCTGGCTCGGTTTTTCATTTGCTGGTTAATTGTTAACCAGATGTTAGACGACTCTCTGCCTCTTCTCAGATAATAGCATAGAAAAAGGTGGAGAGTCGACGAACTTCTGGTCAACAGCTGACCAGAAAATGAAAAACCGGGCCTTCCATCTAAGAAGGGACAGAGAATCGACTGACCTCTGGTTAACAATTAACCAGAAAATGAAAAAACCGGGCCTTAATGAAAGCTCCACTCTCTTCTCGGTCCGGCTACCTCATAGGCGGAATGTAAATTGCGCTTGTCTTGCGCCAGATTCGATGGGAATCGCGGCATTGAAAATGCGAAACAGCGTCGGATCAAAGAGCGGCCGATTCATCGGCGCCCCCTCGCCCGTCGTCTATTATCGTCGCGCACTCGTCGTCTATGTGTCGGTCCGACCCCCCGGCTGCCGGCACGTGTCGGATGATTCGACGATCCGTGATGAAAGCCAGCTAATACACCGTCCCCTTCCCGCCGCCCCTCCATTCGTCGGTCCGTCCACTTTCACCGGCGCCTCCCTTCAAAGGCTAATTGTTTAATGAGCCCGTTGGCATTAGCATTTAAATACACCTCGTTGTCACTGTCGTCCCCCTCCCGGTTTCCATTCCGCGCGCGTGCATCACGCGGCACATGCCTTCGACCCTTTAATTCGCGACCTCGTCGATGATCTCCGTTGCGACTCAATCGCGGCGAGGGTACGCGAAAAACGCGACCCGCGTCCTCGAAACACCGCCTCGCGTAGTAGCGGATTACACTTGCTCCGGTTTCGACCTAGGGGATCAATTCTGTATCTTACACTATAGCGAAAATGCCAGAAGCGAATAACTTTGTCTCTTACCAACCGTCCCCTTAGAGAGAGACAATGTCGCTCACTCTTAGCATTTTCACTATATTGTAAGGTACAGAATTGACCCCCTTGACGAGTTTAGACTACGGCTGGAGTTACATTGTCCGGCATCTATTCTTATCTGATAATTTTAATTAGTAATTCGGATTTCCAGCAAGGTTCCAGCCTTCCTGCACGTGATGGACATCGCGGGACTGGTGAAAGGCGCCTCCGAGGGACAAGGCTTGGGAAACAGTTTTCTCTCGCACATCGGAGCATGCGACGGCATATTTCATCTTTGTCGTAAGTTCGCCACGTCGTCGCTCACCCTCGTTCGATATTTACCCGCTTTGTTTCCGTTATTAATATCGTTGTAACATTCCGCGCTGGCGTGCTTTATTAATTACACGCCGCGCGTCCTCGCGTGAATAAACCGATCGCGGGGTGGGCCGCGATTTCCACGAAATCATTTCGAACACGAAATCGCGACGGGAGGGGAAATCAGTGTCGATTAGATCGAGAGATTGGTCGCAAACGATATTTACCTACTTTGTGTCCGTGTAATCGCGGACGCCAACTTATTTTTACGACACGCGTACCTCGTCGGCGTCCACGTGTTTATCATTGTCGTTAACTATCTTCCCGGAAGCACATTACATTATTGTCCCTCGCGATAATCCAGATCGATCGACCTGCGCCTATCTCGTTACGAATATATTCGTACCTCACACGTGTAAATGTATGAACGACGTATTGCGCATATAAAGAAGAATATTAATTTTTTTTTGTGAAAAGTGCGTTTGACTACTAGCGCGTGTTTAACGCGAATTTCGATCGATTGTTCTAAAGTTTCAATTTTCCGGAGAAATCCAATTGTAAACTGAATAATTTAGTTGGTTAGTAAATGTCTGCGTAACGCAATTATAATTATTTGTCACGATCTAAGTGCACGGAGAAAATGCTGCAGTATAAATTATAAACGACAAATTGTTTACATTACGAGATATGTGACTAATTACAATAATCCTCTTGTAAAACATAAAACGTGTATGTCCTCGAACACAAATATTAATTTTCGTTATAATGAAAATGCGTTCCACTAGGTAACAAAACTGTTTATTATAATACAATATCTCCCTCCCGTAGAGCGCGAACGTTTGCCAAGCGAAAAAGTGAAGAAAACGATATAATTGTCAATAAAATGAGCGGTATTTTTCATATCCAGGACGAGGGCCGCGAGAAGGTAATCCATGTATTTTACATCGCGATAATGTAACACGTAGTAATTCGCTAAACGGCTGCTGATTTGTCTGAGGGAACGATCGTTCGGTATATATTGTATTATATTCGCACTGAAAATAACATTTCGAGGTAGTTCTGTCGGTTAATACACCCTGGCAGGCTGACAGGTGGTAATTTTTTCAATTAAACCAACCCGGCAATCTTCGCGTGGCGGTGGCGGCGGCGGCTCGCTTAAACAGTTCGACATGCGAGCCTCGCATTGAGGCGAGCGTTACTTATAAGATGAGCAACAGCCCCAGTTTCGAGCATGATGCAAGAATATAGGGTGAAACATTGTGCATAATGGCGGTTGAATGCGGCAAGAACCAATTTTTGGGGGCAAATTGTTCGTTGGTTCTCGCTGCCGCAATTATGCGCAATGATTTGCAGTTTGAAGATCTCGGGCAAATTTCTGATTGAACAAAGAATCGCCATTAATTGGACGAGTGTGCATCCACGTGAATCCCAGATAGCAATACATGACTAAAAGACGTCATAAAGGTATCTTTAAAGGCCTATGTCTACGATGTTAGAACTTGGACAAAATTCTAACATCGTAAACACGTCTCACTTTATATTCTTACATCATAGTTTCGAGATTGTGCTTCCTCGCTCAACGCGCGAGATCTATTCACTTGTCTTTATCAGGTGCCTTCGAAGACGACGATGTCACTCACGTGGAGGGCGACGTCAACCCCGTGAGGGATCTCGACATCATCAGCGAGGAGTTACGACTGAAGGACGTGGAATTCCTCAACGTGCACCTCGAGAAGCTCGAGAAGCTTGTGATACGCGGTAATGACAAGAAGCTGAAACCTGAATATGTGAGTGGGCTTGACGTTTAAATTTCGGTAGGATAAATCCTTCAGTGGGAAAACGCGCGTTGTTCGCGTAAGAATTTTCGGGATTTTCGATAATTGGAGGAGCGACTGGCTTCGCGAAAATTCTGCTCAGCTAAAAATTTGTTACTTCCTACAAATGCGATATCGCATTTGACGCACTCACCGTTCATCGTTCCTTCGAATCTATCAGTAAAGGCCTGTGCCCACGATGCTAGAACTCGGTCCAAGTTCTGGTTTTGAGAAATGTGTAATCTATTCCATAACAGCTGCAAGTCGATTGGCCACACATTTCTCGGAACTAGAACTTGGACCAAGTTCTAGCATCGTGGACACAGGCCTTAATTAACGCATCTGTACGCGAAATCGCGAGACCGTGTAGCGAGATGCATACTTTATATCTTTGGTGAATTTTTCTAAAGGGACCAACGTTACACCGAATCAATTTCACTGAGCTGCCCTTGGTCGCTCCGAGAGATTTTCTCGCGTCTCCGCTGCCCCTGCCCTCGCTCGATGTTCATACGCATGAACGTCTATCGAGTACAGTTGCCAGCCCCCTTTGTCAGGCCAACTACGAAACTACCGAGGAAATTAAGAGAACGCGGGCGAAACGAGGCTTCCTGGAACGATCGTCGGATTACCCTCCTTCCGCGGATTGACCCACGGCAATTACCGATCTCCCTCTCGTTCCCGACTTTGCAATTTGGCAAAAGTTTTCGAGAATTCGAAGCTACCTTTTCGTCCTTTCTCTTTCTCTCGCCCTCCCTCTCGGGCGGAGCTAATGGGACCGCGGGCTCGACTAGTCCAGCGCGATCCTCTAATCACGATTCGATCGCGAAATTATCCTACTCGACGGCCCGCGTTCGTGCATCCGAATGTCTGGGCGAGATCGACGAATGTCGAAGTCGTTACGTTTGATTGTCGAGAAATAAGGTCGTTACGCAATCGAGGCGAATCCCGAGATTAAGTCGCAATTTTCAATTCGTGTTTCGCAGGACACGCTTCTGAAGGTAAAGGGTGTTCTGGCGGACGAGAAGAAACACATCAGGTTCGCCGACTGGAGTGCCAACGATGTGAGTTGCAGCGCTACACATTTGTGTATTTTATCGCGAATGATTTTATTGAAAAGTGAGTTTCCCTTAATTTTAATTTGACACTTGCGCTTCGTCGGCTTTCAGATCGAAGTGTTGAACAAATATCTGTTCCTTACGTCAAAACCGATTATCTATTTGGTAAACCTGTCGGAAAAGGACTACATACGCAAGAAGAACAAATGGTAGGCGATTTAAAGGACGGCCGAACAGAGGCAGTCTCCTCTATCTGTCGCGTGATCGCTTTACGAGCTTTGTTACATCTTGCGCGATTCTCTGTGCGACAGGTTAATCAAGATAAAAGAATGGGTCGACAAGAACGATCCGGGCGCGGTGTTAATCCCTTTCAGCGGCGTTTGCGAAAACAAGATTTTCGATATGGACGAGGCGGAGCGCGCAAAATACTTCGAGGAACACAAAGTCACCAGGTCGGTATCTCCTCGGTCCGTTATAACGATTATTAACGTTTGCCCTCTAAATGTTGCTGTGTCGCGCTCGCAAATAAGGGGGTACGGCCGCGCGTCGTTTACCGCCGCCTTTAAAACTTAGAGAAATTCGGTAGTGTGGCTCTCGCATACGTCGCTCGTTGCCGGTTGGCGACGAACCGCCGCAAGATTGCAGGGAAAAGAAGGTCGGACGTTCGTAAAATCCCGCGGCGGACGCGTATCCCCCGACCGAGTTTGGGGAGTTCCCACATTTAGCTATGCACCGAGTTATTCTCTAACGGTAATAATAATGGTGGGCACGGTCGGCGTCTAGACCCCCTTGTCCCACTCTCACCACGTGGGACGACTAATAAAAACCGTGGCCGGCCCGACCGCGGCGCATTATATTTTTACGAACGGCTATTCAAATTCTTGCAAAATTGCATAAAAACCCCTCCCGCCCTCGCGGGCACGCACGGTATAATCGAGGAGGTGGGTGGAGCGAGAAGTAATCGGCGGTGGTTCGGCAATTCGATTGGTTAGCGGGTCATTTGTACCCCAGGGCGGTGCGTACGTTGTACGTGATATACGCGTACAGACTTGCATCACGAGCTCTCCTTTTTTTTCTCTCTCTCTTGTCTTGTCAGAATGAATTTTAATCAAGCCGTACGGTACAGTTGTAATTATGAGACTCGATTATTGAACAGCATTGAATTAATCTTCCACGATACGCTAGAAAGTGCTTTAATAACCGGGAAAGAAATGCGGACGTTGGGAAATATTTAGAAGAAATAAAAGCGTGTAGGGAATATACGTTTGCCGTTTTCTGCGATATTCGTTATATAATATTTCCCGTAATGTTTCATTATTACTTTCGCGACAGGGGAAGCAGGAGAGATACTCCCGAGCTTGTCTAATGTTCGGGGAATACAAACGAAGGGAAGATATCGCGATTTTATTTCGAGACCGCAGATAACTGAGGCGCCGGGGAATAGGTCCCCGGCCAGAGTCGGAATGATAAAATTGCGGTATTAAGTCGTTCGGCTTTTATGTGTATTCTCTGAACCCTCGGACGAAAGTCCGAGGGCCCACCGCGCGTTGGACGGGCTCCACTTGCGCTAACCCGTCATTAGACGATATTTGGCCCGAGACAATCTTATTCCACAACTCGGACACTTCCCGCTTTGACCGCGGACGCGCCTTATTTTTTCGTGATTCGCGGAAAGTGAGAAACGTACATCTCGTTGTGCTCGGCACAGCCGTAGGTAGCGGACGTGTATCCCTGGTTTCAGTGAAGAAACGCATTTTCATTCACTTTTCTCTGTTTAGCGCACTCGACAAAATCATCATACAAGGATACAAGGCGCTGCAGCTGCAATATTTTTTCACATCCGGTCACGATGAAGTCAAGGCGTGGACAATTCAGGTTGGCATAGAGCGATTCATAGTACCATTAAATTAAATAAAAATCGCATGTCGATTCATTCAGTAACATCAATATGGAGATTTATGAAAAAAACTTTGAATAATATATCAGATAACATTAATAAGAAATTTAAATTAAATAGGCCAATTAGATTCACGAGCAATGTTGGTTTTAAAAGATTTTTAATAGTTAATGTGCTAGTCTTTTGCATCGCATTAGTCTTAATGCGATGCATCATACGTAGGGCAAGCTAAGAGAAAACTAAAAACAAGAATAAAAGAGCACATTAGCAATAGCAAACTAGACCATTTAAAACATTCTGTTACAATGCAATACAGTATAGAATTGAACCATAAATTCGATTGGAACAACAGTATTAGATACGGAACCATATTTATAAAAAAGACTAATAAGTGAAATAATACACATCAAGGAACAGACAAACGGAATAAATTAGCACATTAACTATTAAAAACCTTTTAAAACCAACATTGCTCCTGAATCTAATTGACCTATTTAAATTTAAATTTATTAAACTAATATGAGCCTAGTATTCTTATTTATTAATAAAAAAAATTATATAATATATTTTTGTTTATATCTCTTCTCTCTTATTCTCCTGTTAAAACGTAAATTTTATTTTTAGCAGTTCACTTTATTAGTGCACATTAACGTTATGAATAAAAATATGTTCTATTTGTTTTGCAGAAAGGCATGAAAGCGCCTCAGGCTGCTGGCAAGATACATACGGATTTTGAAAAAGGATTTATCATGGCGGAAGTGATGAAATTCGAAGATTTCAAGAACGAAGGCACGGAAGCAGCAGTAAAGGTATTTGAAACGGTTTCCATAGTAGTCAGTACGTGCCATGTTTTCTACTAATATATTATTACATTTTGCTTAATCGTCAGGCGGCCGGAAAGTACAGGCAGCAAGGACGTAATTATATAGTCGAGGATGGTGACATAATTTTTTTCAAGTTCAACGCAGGCGCCGGGTTAAAAGACGCGAAGAAGAAGTGATGGCACGCATTTCTCATGTTGTTGCTCGTCCATCTGTACATCAACATGATCTTGTTATCCTGTTGCATGCATCACCCGCGCGTCGATCAATCCAATTCACTTCCCAATCCTCCCTGACTTTCTCATTCACGACAAACATGTATATGTATATAATAATGACGACGATATTGATAATTATTTTTGTATTTTCATTCTGCAGAATCGGGAAAAATTAATCGCGCTACGTTTGCAAAACGTTTTATCGAGATAATCTCTAAATATTCTCGCTCACAATTATGCGTAGAGGAAGCGCACTCGATGTCCACATATTATTTCTTTTGTAAAGGATAACAGTGTCCACGTAAAGAAAAAGGATAGCATTTTCATATTTATTTTTGTGTACATAATTAACTGATTATGTAATAGATCGCATTCTATACTTCTCGTCTTTGGTGTGAAAATGTGCAGAGAAGAAGAGAGAATGAGAAGAAAGGGGACGACGTGTTAAAGCATTTCTTTGTACTCTTCTGTATTTATTCTATAAATATTAAACTACATTGACGTAAATTCTTCATAATTGGTCAATATTTTCTGCTTGTGCAGTCAAGTTATTACGATTTATTCCGATGCGCTTCGAGAAAATTGCGTACGATTTGTGTACGACGATACCACAGTATAACTAGTATACTCACTCTCTATTGATCCTTTGATTTTTTCGGTTTCGACCACGTGGTATTCCGCCATGGTTTGTGTAAAATCCTGTCGCACTGATTTCACTCATTTCAAATTTAATTCTCTGTTCCTAATACTTTATTTCTTTTCGTTATGTCGAGCCCTTGATGCCGTTTTCGCTCGGCTGTTCCCAGCGCCTTACGCCCGTTTTCATTTTTGGAACTATTTCGCTACACCCGGCCATTCGCAAGCACTGCCGATAAAGTCTCCACTTGGTGCGTGTCCGTGCTACGCCTATTTTTCAAGCGGGTAACGCTGTGCTCAATTTTGGTTGTGTTCCATGCTGCATGCATGAAATGTCGGTAACACGAGAGTGTTACTGTTTTTTCGTAACAGAAGCGAGCGAGCAAGACAGTAATAGCAGAGAGTAATAGCTAGGAGCGAGCGAGATAAGATAACACATGCGAGCCCGGCGAGTCGCGAGAAAGACTCGATCCCGATCCTCGAGCCTTCATCATTTGCTGTTATTCTCATTTTTGAGTAGCAATGTCCTATAATTAAACTTGTAGATTGTTGAATTTCCTGAGCCCGTATTCCGATGTCCTATCCATTTCCCTACCTATCCGCGTTACAACTTTTTCTTAATAAATCTACAAGTCTTTCGTTAGAACCGCGACGCGATTTATAAAAGGTCCAATTTGGGGCTATACGCGCGTGAATGGGATTTAATAGGAGTTGTTCATCTCGCACATACATATGCGAGATGTAAAGAAGATAAGAATATAACCCACCCGAATTGTGACAAATCAAAAGAAATCAAAGTATACTTCGTACAGCACCTTACTTAGGTGCTCCATCAGAGTGGCCAATATTGACCACTTACCTCGTCGTATTTAGTCCTTCGTTGGGCCAGATTGGACATACCTTTCGTTGCTCCCGGCCATACAATCTGGTCATTTTGACCAGAGATCAGGAAGGAAGGAAACTCCTTCCATAGTCTGTTATCGTCACCGACAAATATTTCGTACGGTTCGAATATACGAGTGTCGATCGTATCGCAAAATGCACAACCACGAGAGGTTAATTAAACAAGAATATTAATCCAAAAAACTTTACTGTATTTACGAATCAAATTTATTTTTACTTCCGTTATTTGTTCAAAAATCTCTTCGTAACTTGATCTTTGAATTCGAAATTCAAGTTGATATAGAATAAAATTTACTTCGCGTTAGAGTGATTTTAATCATATTCCTCGATAAATTAAAATTTATAATATGGATAAAATTAAATAATTAATTGAAAACTTTTCCTGAAAAACCGATCGCGAAAACCGACCGCGAAAATACAAAGATGCGTGTGACTATGCATGTATTCATACGAGACGCATCTTGAAAGTACGTATATCACGTACAAGTACATACATACACACATACAAAGAATAAATGATGTGAGATCCAGAAAAACGAAACGTCTTTCACGATTCCAACCGATATTACAATTGCATATTATAATTAATTAATAACTGCACAAATAATATATCAAAATTAAAATTTCAGTGTTCTGGACAAAACATATTACAATAGAATCTCACATCATATTATTTTAGTTTATATATCAATTTGTTAATAAAAATGGATAGGCTACAAGAAATTAGCTCGACGAATACACCATTAATATTCGCCACATTTTGCTTAAGTTCTGTAAGGTAATTCACCGATTCTCAACATGGAAAATGAGCTCGACATACTGTGATCTGCAGAGCTCTATGACATTAAATGAATGTGGAGAGTTAAATAAAAAATTTACTTCCCGTTAGCATTTAAAACCTATCCATTTTAAGGCGACGAATATACAAGATAAACTACGATCTACAATCTATGATCTACGATCTATTATACAATCTATGATCTACGAGATGCACTGTAAAAAAAAGTATGTAAAATTACATACATAATAAGTGTAGCGATTACACTATTAATAAATAAATATGTACTTTTACAAAAAAATTTTTTTACTTTTTGTTGTGTAAATACTCGTTTATACATGATGAAAATTACAAAAAATGTAAAATTTACACAATCAAAAGCAAGCAGTTTACTTATTATATAAGGTAATAATTTTACAAGCAGTAAATTTACTGACATATGTAAATATACACCTTTAATAGATGGTCCCAACATTACTCACTGTAATATTTGTAATTTTACATGTACTTTTTTTACAGTGTGTATATTCGTTGCCATAATAAAAAAGTTTTTAACTCACCGGCCCGCAGCAGCGGAGTTGAACTACGTTGATCCTGTAATACAATTATTAAGTTCATATTAAAACAGAGTATTCAAGAAAATAAATATAAAAGAAAATTTTTTAATTATTAAAAATAAACAAGAGAAAGATTAATTTTATACAAAAGAAAAAATACTTACGCTAAAGTTGCTCCGCCGGTGCCTGATGCCCTCCCGGGCCTCCTCCTCCACTCAGGTTGTCTTCTGGCACACTCGCGAAAACACAAAGATCGTTCGCGCGATTTTACACTTTGAAAGTCTTTAGTCCAATAAACACAAACGGCACTCCCGAACGCGAGGAAAATGAAAACTTTATGTTACACGCGCACTTTTATACGTTTAATTGTTGGAGAGATGTCTTGGCAAGCGATCGATATGTTATAAGTATTCGTTATTAATCCCCGATGTGATTACGGATCGCGACAATTCCTTAAACGCGATGGATAGATGTTAAAACTCTCGTACGAGACGATCGCGTTGCGTGGATGATCGAGATTCCCGTAGAAGGTAATCGCGTTACGAGGGGCGACGCGACGACACACGGAACACCCGCCACGCTCGACTCGCTCGCGCCGACTGATTAGGCACAATAGACTGTTTTCGAAAAAAGTGTTCACGGTGCTACGTCATTGTAACCGGCGCTCGAGACAGAGTTGTTTACTACGGCGCGTACGTCGTTTCTTGGAATCCGTGCTCGGTCAACGGCTCTCGCCCATACAGCTCATTCTTCTAGAATGTTCTAGAATATTCTAGAACATTCTTAGAACGTTCTCCGAATATCATGTGCTAGAATATTCTAGCATAGTCTAGAATAGTCTAGAATATTCTAGAACATTCTAGAACATTCTTAGAACGTTCTCCGAATATCATGTGCTGTATGGGTGGCACAAAAAAAGTCACGCCGTCCGCCGGATTGTTAACGTTAGTGGCCCGCGCCGATTCGCATATCGTATTGTTTTTTTACGCGTTCGCGACAAGTACGGGAAGAAACTTGGATCGTTTTCTGCGAATAATTGGCGAACGATATCGTCGCGTGATCGCTGAATCCTCGCGAACGCGTATCAAGGAAGAACAATACGATATGCGAAGCGGCGCGGGCATAACCGATCAACTCGACTGTCGCCACATGAATGATCCCGCGTACGGCGCCGTAAACACCGTGAAAACCGAGCGCGGATTCCAAGAAATGACGTAGCAACGAATTCTCAACGTTCGTAGTTGTTTTTCTCTCGGCGCGGTGACGTACGATGTTTTTGCGTGCCATCGTGTACCGGAAGGCTTTTTTCGGTGTCTACGACGCCGTACGCAGGATCATTCACGCGGCGACAGTTGAGTTGATCGGTTGTGCTCCGCGCCGCTTCGCATATCGTATTATTCTTTCTTGATACGCGTTCGCGACAAGTGCGGGAAGAAACCGCGATCGTTCTCTACGAATAATTAGTGATTGATATCATCGTGCGATCGCTGAATTCTCGCGATTTGTGTCAGTGATTTGTGCGGGTATCAGTGCGACGATGTAATCGAACAGCTCGTAGTGCGCAATCGAACTCTGTGACAATCGAAATCAGTGACAATCGGACACAGAGAAAACTCAAAAAGTATCATTTGGATACAGTGACAAGGGACTTTACTAACGGAAGTGTAAATTGGTTAATGTGTTGGAGGACAGCTGAGATACTGAGAGGACGACACCTGAGTGGAGGAGGAGGCATCGGGCGCCATTCAATCAACGTAGATACAACTCCGCTGCGCATCGTGTCGGTGAGCGAAAAGTTTTTTTATTAAAGTAACGGAATCTACATTTTTTGACCGTAGATTGTAGATACATTTCGTAGATCCGTTACGTTAAAATGGATAGGTTACAAATAATTTCGCGTTTTAATTAAATAGAGCTCTACAAATCAGAGTATGTTGAGCTCATTTTTGACGGATATTATCGATGTATTCGGCCAACTAATCTCTCGTAGCCTATCCATTTTTAATTAAAGAATTGATATATGTATAAAGTAAAATAATATGACGTGAGATTTCATTATATTTTGTCGAGAATGCTTAAATTTGAAATTATTTTCATACTTTCTTTGAAATTATCGATTGACTGTAATATTTAATAATGTCGGTGTCACTCGTGCGGCAAGTTCCTTCTTTCTGTATCTCACCTCATTTATTCTGTGTATGTACCTATATTCAGATATGATATACGTACTTTCAAGATGCGTCTCGCATACCTAAATATACATGCGTAGTTTCATGCATCTTTGTATTTTCGCGGTCGGTTTTCGCGATTAATTTTTCAAGAAAAATTTTCAAGAAATTATTAATTGTTCAATTTTATCCATATTATAAATTTCAATCTATCGTGGAATATGATTAAAATTACTGTAACGCGAAATAATTTTTTTTCTATATCTACTCGAATTTTGAATTCAGAGATCAATTTACGAAGAGATGGTCAACATTTTTTAATAATAACGGAAGTAACCATAAATTTGATTCGTAAATACCGTAAAGTTTTTTGAATTAATATTTTTCTTTAATTATCTTCTCGTGGTCGTGCATTTTTCGATACGATCGGCGCTCGCATATAGTTCGAACCGTACGAAATATCTGTCGGTGATAAACCGACTATGGAAGGAGTTTTCTTCCTTCCTGATCTCTGGTCAAAATGATCAGATTGTATGGCCGGGAGCAACGAAAGGTAGGTCCAATCTGGCCCACCGAAGGACTAAATACGACGAGGTAAGTGGTCAATATTGGCCACTCTGATAGAGCACCTAAGTAAGGTGCTGTACGAAGTATACTTTGATTTCTTTTAATTTGTCACAATTCGGGTGGGTTATGCTTCTATATACATACATTCTCGCATATGCGAGAGTGAAACCCCTATTAAATCCCGCGGTCGCGTTAAACCCCAAGTAAAACCGCTAGAAAATCGCGTCACGGTTAATTAAAGATTTATAGGTTCGTTATGTTGAAACACGGGTAGGTAGAAATTGGATAAGTAGGTCTATGTATAGATCGGAATACGGGTAGGTATAGGGATTCGGATAGTTAGGGATAGCGGGACATGATTTTAGGTAACAAATTAACGAAATAACAATGATTAATACATATAATAAGTACGTAAAAAGAATGTCGCGTTATTGTACGTATACCGAATATTTCATTTATAATATTATGCGTATTGTAAAGTAAGTTATAAGAAAAATGTAAGAAATCAAATTGTAAAGAAAAGAGGACCGTCGATTAAATGCGGCGGGGGTGGTGGAGGGCCTCTATACGTATAAGTCGATTTGTTTCTATCGAATAAAATTTTAGTTCAATTTGATTGACATAGTCTTTTAATTGATAGAGTTTCGTTTGTCGAAAAATTTGTCTTTACAATTTGATTTTTTGTTTGCACATTAATAAAAGATGTACAATTATAAGCACAGCCGTATAGGTAACACGTTGTGTGTACTGTGTAACATTTTCTATTAATGTTTTACATTGTAAGAGTTAGGTGCATATTATTGTAAACACATATAACATGTTCATATGTAATTTTATGTCATAATGAAAAATTTTATATATTTTTATTGTACATCATGTTTTTAGTTTCACTATGTAACTTTATCTCTCTTTCTATATTTATTTTCATAAGTTGTGAACAAAATTAAGTTATAAAAATGTAAAAACGCAATTTTATCGCAAACAAAAAGGACCGCCGATAAGAATTCGACGGGGGCGACGGAGGGCCTCTTTAGATTAACTTTTCTATTGTATGAAATTTTAAGTTGGTCTAAAATAATCTTTTATGCGATAGATTTTCGATTGCGCATTTACAGTACGATTTTTGTTGCACATTTATAAAGAATGTTACATATTACTCTCTAAAAGTCAATCAGTGAATTATCACTGAAAACGGTTGTAACTATTGAATTATTCAGTGGTATACTTGTAACTGTGAATCAGTGGGTATTTATTGTTTTCTGTAATAATCCACTGATTGACTTTTAGAGAGTAGACATAGCTACATGTTTTATATTGAAATATATTATAAAATAAATCGTGATGAAACTATAATAATGATAAATTTTTTGTTTTTTAGTTTGATTATTGTAAAGAAAAGAGGACCGCCGATCGAAATTGGCGGGGGTGGTGGAGGGCCTCATATTTGTGCAATGCACTTTCTATGTAAACACAGTACCGTGCAATTATTGATACGTAACATCGGCGTTACATTAGCATTTATTCTATACTCAATATTACAATTTTATTGGGCAATCTTGCCAATACTAAATAATCATCTAGGTACAATATCAGTAGTATATTTGCATTTATTTTAGGACCAATGTTGGTGTTATATTGGAGAAATATTGGCCAATTCACTGCCAACATAACTAATGTACAGCCAAGGAATTGTGCTTCTAGGGAGGCGCTTATACGCAAAGGCAACCAAGGGCGAAAATTTAATATATGATAAATTAGTTGGAATAAGATGTTTTAAGAAAAATATTTTATTTTTTTGTAAATCGGGCATCATTTAATAGTTTTTACAAAATGAAATATATATTTCGACAATATCAAAAACAAACAAATAATATAGTATTACATAATATAAAAACACAATTCGAAAAATTATTCATTTCTAATATTGAGCGCGATTTTATTCCAAGTTGTCACAATTTAAAAGTCAAAATTTTTCGTAGATATATGCTATGTTTAGATGTAAAATAACATGTAAAAAGAACCAAAGATTTGAAAAGACGTTATTTTAATAGTAAAACTATGGGGACGCATAGCATTTAAGCGACAAATTAAAATTTATTCCTTGTTTATTTGTATCATTTATTTCTTTTGTTCGAAATCTCGTGCTTTGGATGTTAAATTTCCCGCCACTGAGTCCAATGGCTGCTTCCGGTTTTTGACAAAACATGGCGATACCGACCTAACTTAAACGTTATTTTGTAACTGATCAAAGGATCTCTACCGGCGATCGGCGGACGTTCGTGCTTGATACTGCGAGGGAAATATCGCGAGTTCCTGCGGTAGCTTCGTCCGGCTGATCCGGCACGCGCTAGATGAGTAAAAGAAGCAGTCACATGAGTAGACATCGCTTGGCATTGCGTCAGCAGGAGGCGTCGAGAGCACTTCGGCGACAACCTGTTACTGCATCGCCTCGAAATTCGTAGATAAGTCAAATAATTAACACTATCGCGGAGTGGAAGCCACGTCGCAAATAGTCTTGTTTCACTTTTATTGCCGCGAAAAGGTTAGGTCATGACTGGAAGGTGATATCGTCACTATGGCGTTAACACACGGAAAGATAAAGGTAATTACCGTAGCTAAAAACTGCATGTGGCGACTAAACTACAGTTGCAAGATATGAACAGTTAATATTCACTTGTGACAATTAAATACTTTGCCGCTGTGCCTGTTGTATTAGGTGCGACAGCGACTCGTTTGCTGTGGCTTATAAATCTATAGTTACAGCAGCAAAGTATTTGGAGTGAACCACGATTGGCTCACCACGGTGGCGAAAAATTGTTTTTCAGCGCGAGCGCTGCACGTAGGCATATTCGCCGACGAGTACTGACTACGGGATAGCTACGGGTTCAGATAGAAACGCTCTCGACAAGGGCTCGGTTGGAAGCATGTACCTTGACGCGCCCGCACGTAAGAGTTCAGGTATGATGTGGATGTTTAACTACATCCTCAGGTGGTTTCAATCCCTGATTTTAAGGATTGTCAAGACCGGCCAGATGCCTAGACACGTGGCATTAATCATGGATGGGAACAGACGTTATGCGAATAAAAGGAATTTGGCAAAGGGGGAGGGACACTCGAGAGGGTAAGCGTGTTCGAAGAGTCGCCCGTTGTTCTCGTCTTATATCTCGTGTTTTATTTACGATAGGTTTGATAAATTGATCGAGACGCTAAATTGGTGCATGGACCTCGGCATTACGGAGGTCACGGTGTATGCTTTTAGTATAGAAAATTTTCAACGTACCGAGGAGGAAGTCGACGAACTCATGAAGCTTGCAAAGCAGAAGTTCAGGCGTCTCTTGGACGAGAGGTACACTCGGCATTTTCAATTGGTCGTCGCGTTGCAGCGGTTTGCGAGATCTTGAATCTGTCATACAATTCTGTATCTTACACTGTAGTGGAAATGCTAAAAAGTGAGTAGCTTCGTCTCTCTAACTGTCTTGGAGAGAGACAAAACCGTTCACTTTTAGCATTTTCACTATGGTGTAAGATATAGAATTGACTGTTCTTTATAGCTGAGCTGGCTGCGCTATTTCAGAGTTCAATTTTTCCTCCCCTGTGTTAGAAGGAAAAAGATAAACTCTGAACCAGCGCAGCCAGTTCAGCTATAAAGAACACGTACAACAATTTTCAGGGAAAAACTGCACGAGGCTGGACTTTGCATTCGTGTGATTGGCAATTTGTCCTTGCTCCCAAAAGATTTATGCAAGTTAATTGCCGAAACTATTGTAATCACTAAGGATAATAACAAAGCAATTTTAAATCTTGCTTTTCCTTATACATGTAAGTGTGATCATCGTAAGTCACATCTACATTCGCAGCTGCTTATTTTTTATACAAAGCACAAATGAAATTATATATAATACATGTATAATATACAGAAAGAGTGTAATGCGTGTATATATAATATTATAATTAAAAAACATAAGTTTTATATTTTTTAATATCTGCAGCAAGGGATGAAGTTACTAGTGCAATTAAGGATATAGGAAGAGGTGTAAAGCGTGCTGAAATTCTGCCAGAAGATGTTGATGAAGACCTGGTGAGTGACTGTTTGTACTTTAACAGATCTCCAAATCCGGATTTATTAATTCGTACTTCTGGAGAGACTCGACTTAGCGATTTCCTCATGTGGCAAGTAAGAAGACTATTTCATTCTTGTAGCTTGAATATACTTCTCCTATAATTCGTCGAGGCGGTAATTTATCCAATTTTTTTTTTAGATTGCTGACACCTACATCTACTTCACCGATGTATTGTGGCCTGAATTTAGTATATGGAATTTTCTTGGTGCAATCTTTAATTATCAAAGATGCTATCCTGAGTTGCAAAAAAATAAGAAAACTAAACCAATCGTGCGTAACAACAGGGTATCTACGTTTCTTGATAAATTACAACGCGAACGCGATATCGCGATACATAATATGTATGTATCTGATCTACCTGATTAATCAGCCGTTCATTCCTAGAAACATAAACTATATATTCACGAGATAGAATAAAACCAGAGTCAAAACTAATGAATTATATTGTAATGGACAGTTAGCTCAAAGCAGTAAGTCCAGTAAATATAAGTATCAGTGAGATATGATAAAAATGCATTTACTGCTAATTCTCCGTTACAATGTAATTGATTAGTTTTGTCTCGGGTTTTATTTTATCTCGTGAATATATTTTTCGCAAATTTTCTCTAATTATAATTGCCAGTTGCGTCGTTTATCAATTTTCCTACATCGGTTAATTATTAATGTACTGGCGACAGTAAGTCTTAATTCATGAATAAATGTTTACCAAATTATTGCAGCAATTAATTTGTTCGTACTGTTTTGTGCATCAACAAAACTAATTGTGAGAAAAATTTCCATCGGATAAACCAATGAAATAGTGTTTCCGATGGTTAATTTTCTCTATTAAATATGGATACATCCGATGAAATGCAGTTACCAATAAAATTTGATCGCAAAACCGATCATATTTTTTATCGGATATATCAGTTTGTTATTATGTAATTGGATTATCCGATTATATTTAATCAGACATTTTCTCAGTGTAAGAATCTGGAAAATTATAACAAATTGTATCTTACTTAAACAACACATTTACAATTTAATAAATTTATGTGAATAATATTTTTTTATTTCATGTGCTAAATTATTTGTATACATAATTAGTCAAATACATTTAATTCGTTTCAAAGAAATGTTCAAACCGTGAGCCGTGTCTTTATTGTGGTATATATATATATATATATATATGTATATAGGGAGCTGCCCCATGTAGAAACTGACGGTCAATATTTTTCTTATAACGTGCCTACTCTAAAATTAGATCAGCAAGATCTTGCCAAGATCCAATATTTTTTGCCTATTGTTTCTTGTATCCTTGTTTTAGCGAAAGTACTGAAATTTAATATAATTAGAATTACAAGATATTGCAATTATATATTGTATATTATTTGATTATTGACCAAAAACTGAAACTTTTTATTCATATTTCTTAGGAAGGGGAATGTTGAAACTTAACTATTTAAATTTCTTAATGTTTGTACAGTTAACCGTATATAAGAATATCTGACAATTACAAAATATATTGTCAACAAATAAAGAAAAACAATATATTTGAATAACAAAAGTTAATATCAACTTGCCTAAAAATATTATTTAACTCAGGTAATTGATATTTCGTAAAAGATGAGCGTTAAATATTAGACTCGTGTTTAAGTGAGTCTAATTCTATATTTTCAACTGTTAAATATTAGATCTTTTATGCGTTAATTGTATATAATAAAATAATTAATAATTCGAGAGAAATAAAACACTAACATTTGTAACATTTACCTCTGCATATCTTTTTGATTTTTAGGAGCTTACAAGTCTGCATTATCACAAGCACGCATTATGTCAGTTGATTGATCTATAGTTTCTTGCATTATTGCATCTCTGGCATCTAAATTTGAATCATCAGTTCGATCTACAGGTTGTATTGTTGCATCTCTGGCATCACAAGCACGTAGCACGTCAGTTGATTGATCTATAGTTG